AATTGCTAATAGTAGTACCCTCTGGGTAGTGAGATTAAGGTAATTTTAATTTTCTTCTTTTGGTTTCTCTATATTTAAAAAATCTTTGCTATAGTAAACATTAACTACTTCTATTTTAAAAAAAGAATAAAAGGAAAGCCAGCATAGTGATATCCCTGTAGTCCCAGCTAGCTGGGAGGCTGAGGCAGAAGCATCACCTGAGCCCAGAAGTTTGAGGCTGCAGTCTACTATGATCACATCTGTGAATAGCCACTGTACTCCAGGCTGGGCAACATAGGGAGACCCTGTATCTATTTAAAAGAGAGAGAGGGAAACAGAGAGAGAGAAACAGAGAGAGAGAAACGATAATATCCTTTAAAAAGAATGAGAACAGAAGAGTAAGAAATTTGCAACAGTTTTTTCTTTTTTTTTTTTTTTGAGATGGAGTCTTGCTCTGTCACCCAGGCTGGAGTGCAGTGGTAGGATCTCAGCTCACTGCAACCTTGACCTCCTGGGTTCAAGCAATTCTCCTGCCTCAGCCTCTCGAGTAGCTGGGACTACTGGGGCGTGCCACCATGCCCAGCTAATTTTTTTGTTTGTTTTTTTGAGATGGAGGCTTGCTCTGTCACCCAGGCTAGAGTGCAGTGGCATGATCCTGGCTTACTGAAATCTCCACCTCCTGGGTTCAACCAATTCTCCTGCCTCAGCCTTCCGAGTAGCTGGGATTACAGGGGCCTGCCACTGCACCCGGCTAATTTTTGTATTTTTAGTAGAGACGGGGTTTCACCATCTTGGCCAGGCTGGTCTCAAACTCCTGACCTCATGATCCACCGGCCTCGGCCTCCCACAGTGCTAGGATTACAGGCATGAGACACCGCGCCCGGCCATAATTTTTGTATTTTTAGTGGAGACGGGGTTTCGCCATGTTGGCCAGGCTGGTCTCAAACTCCTGACCTCACGCCACGGCCTCCCAAAGTCCTGGGATTACAGGTGTGAGCTACCGCGCTCAGCCTTCTATATTGTTCTAAGACTTTCCAGGGCAAGTGTTCTGACTCACTGGCATAAATATCTGGTTCCTTTGGCTAATGTATACCTCAAATGGAAATGAGTGTTATTTCCCTCTTGTTGCCCCTAACCATTAAGATCACTAACCAACCTCTAAATGACTTCCTGTGACATAAGATCTTTGAACCCAAACATAGAACACAAAGAAAGTGATTTAAAACAAAAGCTCTTAGTGAAGTTTTTCCAGAGCCCCTTTAATGAAGTAATCTTCTCTGCCCTCTACTGGTGATGAAAATAACATCTACTTGGAAATAAATGGAGGCATTTCCATAAAGCAGCAGTTAGTACGCTATGGGGACCTGGCTTGCTTTGCCAGGGGGTTTCCAAGACCCTCTCAGGGGGTCTGCAAGGTCAAAACCATTTCATAATAATACTAGGTCATGATGTGCCTTTTACATTCTCAAGCGTGTACTGAGTACGAAAGGCTTATTGATATGAGTTCTGATTTCATACTGCAACAAATCTTTAAGATATTACCTCTTGGCCAGGCGAGGTGGCTCACGCCTGTAATCCCAGCACTTTGGCAGGCCGAGGCAGGCAGATCACTTGAAGTCAGGAGTTTGAGACCAGCCTGACCAACGTGGAGAAACCCCATCTCTACTAAAAATACAAAATTAGCTGGGCGTGGTGGCGCATGTCTGTAATCCCAGCTACTCGGGAGGCTGAGGCAGGAGCATCGCTTGAACCCAGGAGGTAGAGGTGGCAGTGGGCCGAGATTGCGCCATTGCATTCCAAACTGGGCAACAACAGAGAAACTCCGTCACAAAAAAAAAAAAAAAAAGATATTGCCTCTTGTTGAGTTTCTCTTCACTTTTTTCCCCACACAATTCATGCAGATTATCTTGTTGAGTTTTAGAATTGTATAAAAGAAGGCCGGACATGGTGGCTCACACCTGTAATCCCAGCACTTTGGGAGGCCAAGGCGGGAGGATTATAAAGTCAGGAGTTCGAGACCAGCCTAGCCAATATGGTGAAACCTGTCTGTACTAAAAAAAAAAAAAAAAAATTAGCCAGGAATGGTGGCACGTGCCTGTTGTCCCAATTACTCGGGAGGCTGAGGCAGGAGAATCCCTTGAACCTGGGAGGCGGAGGTTGCAGTGAGCCGAGATTGTACCACTGCACTCCAGCCTGGGCGACAGAGCAACACTCCATCTAAAAAAAAAAAAAAAAAAGAAAAGAAAAGAATGTACATAATTATCTGAAAAGATGATTGAATTCTCCTCCCTTTTCCAGCTACATATCTATGTGAGTCTAGGTTTTCTTCATGTACTTCAGTCAAAACAACCTATCTTGACAGACTGGAGAAGCAGATATGAAAATCCAGCTGACTTCTAGGTTGGGCATGGTGGCTCACGCCTGTAACCCTAATCCCAGTACTCTGGGAGGTCAAGGCAGGCAGATCACCTGAGGTCAGGAGTTCAAGACCAGCCTGGCCAACATGGTGAAACCCCGTCTCTACTAAAAGTACAAAAAATTAGCCAAGCGTGGTGGTGCATGCCTGTAATCCCAGCAACTTGGGAGGCTTAGGTAGGAGAATCACTTGAATCCAGGAGGCGGAGATTGCAGTGAGCCGAGATTGCGCCACTGCACTCCAGCCCAGGCAACAAGAGCGAAATTCCATCTCAAAAAAAAAAAGTACAAAAATTAGCTGAGCATGGTGGTGGGTGCCTGTGGTCCCAGCTACAAGGGAGGCTGAGGCATGAGAATTGCTTGAACCCGGGAGGTGGGGGTTCCAGTGAGTCAAGATCATGCCATTGCACTCCAGCCTGGGTGATGGAGTGAAACTCTGTCTCAAAAAAAAAAAAAAAAAAAAAACCCCCAAAAAACAAAACAAAACAAACAGGGTCTTACTCTGTCACCTAGGCTACAGTGCATTAGTGTAATCGTGGCTCACTGTAGCCTAGACTTGGACCTCTCAGGCTCAAGCAATCCTCCCATCTCAGCCTCCCCAGTAGCTGGGACCACAGGTGTGTAGTACCATGCATGGCCAATTTTTTAATTTTTTGTAGAGACAAAGTATCACTACGTTGCCCAGTCTGGTCTCAAACTCCTGGGATCCTGCCTCAGCCTCCCAAAGTGCTGGGATTACAGGTATGACCCACCCCACCCAGCCACTACAGATATTTTTAAATTCCCTAAGCAGCTAATATGATAAAATAGTAGACAGATTCATATAATATACAACAGACTACATCTACAAAATAATAATTTTACACACTAATTCCTTTTAAAATAGGAATGCTCGAATTTCTGTAAATTAAATGAGTACATATATGTGTACTCCACCACATACTCATAGAGATTAGAGAGTCTTCTATAAACAAAGCATAATATACGTGTTTCATGACAGAGGATTACTTCCAGGATTTTTGCTTATTTAAACTTGTTCTCAGTCGTATAATAGAGAGTTGCAGGCCAGGTGTAGTGGCTCAGGCCTGTAATCCCAGCACTTTGGGAGGCCAAGGCAGGCAGATCACTTGAGGTCAGGAGTTCGAGACCAGCCTGGTCAACATGGCAAAACTCCCTCTCTACTAAAAAGACAAAAATTACCTGGGCATGGTGGTGGGCACCTGTAGTCCCCGCTACTTGGGAGGCTGAGGAAGGAGAATCGCTTGAACCTGGGAGGTGGAGGTTGCAGTGAGCCAAGATTGTGCCACTGCACTCCAGCCTGGGCAACAGAGCGAGAATTCGTCTCAAAAAAAAAAAAAGAGTTGCAGTTGCAAGACAAGTGACCTCTCGATTAGCAACTTAAAATTCTATTTTGCAGTCTGACTCTTAATTGAGACAGTGTAGTATATTTACAATATTTTTAGTGGAAATAACCTAAATTCAAATTCTGCCACTTACTAGTCTGACATTGGGCAATTTCCAATGTACCTGAACCTTGGTTCCTTCATCCATTAAAATGGAATACAAGTAGTACCGATCCCACGGGATCGTTATGAGGATTAAATGATGTATATGTAAACAGACTACTATGGGGACTGATACTTAGTAGGTACTCATTTACTAATATTAATAACTTGTGTTCACTCCCCGCTGGTGTGGTGTAATGTTTGCAGAAGTTTTTGCAGTTTTGAGTATAAAATCTGAGACTGGGAGGTGATCCCCTTTGGCCTTTCATGTGCCCTTGCTAATTGTACAGATCCCGTCCCATCCCTTCCCCCAAATATACACCCCAATGATAAGTAGAGCTCTATCTCCTTTCCAAAAGCTCCAGATAACATCAGAGCCTCTATATTGAATAATTTGTCTGATTCTGAGAAGGGGGTTCAGTAGATCTCGGGCCTAGGTCCGTGTTCTGCCCCTAATTTGACCACGTGATCTTGGACAGGTTACTTAATTTCTTCAGTGAGTCTTGGGTGTTCTCAGTCGTAAAAATAATGCAGCTTCAACCACTCCCAATGTCCCTTCAGATTTTAGATTGGGAAGAAACTGTCCACGCACCACAGAGATTAAAAGCGACTGGAAACCCCTAAATACTCTCCCCAAACCCATTTCAAACGTCACTGCTTCCAATTTCTGGACTTCTTGGAATTTCGTACAAATCTCAAGGGTTCACGCTGGCCCCTGCGCCCTCACGCGGCTAGGACCTCACATCCTACGTCGCGGGCGTCCTACCCTCTCTGGAGCTGTGTCCAGATCCCCTTCCCAAGAGCGCTGTAGTAAGGACTGAATGAAATAACGGCGGCGCCTGACAGAGCTCAGCATAAGGCAAGTGCTCAAGAGATGTTGGCTAATATCAGCAGTCAACGGACCCCGCGCCCTCCTTGAGCCTCGGTTTCCTCAAGGATGTAATGAGGACGGGCAGAGACCATGCTCAAAGCCCCCAGCAGCGGGCGGAGGGTCCCTGGGCGGGCCTAAGGGGCGCACGCTGCGGGAGGCAGGTCAGCCCCGGAAGCCCGGCGGCCCTAAGAGTCCCTTGTGTAGCCCAGCGCCGAGATGCGTCCTCTCACCTCCCGGGCTCAGCAGCAGCTTCAGTGCCTCCAAAATCCGATCCAGACCGCATGTCTCCTGAGCCCCGCTGCCCACAGCCTGCCCCGCGGCCGCCATGACTGGAGTGTCACGCGACGCTCCTGACGCGCTCAGGCGCCTCGGCAGGGCGCCGCCGCCGCCATGTTGAGTGTGGCAGAAGGCGATGGGCACACTATGGGGCGGGGCCCGAGGGTGGGGCGGGACCAAATCGGTCGGGAACGCCCCCTTCACTTTTTTTTTCCGTCCCAACTTAGTCCAGGAGGTAGGTAGGAGGGAACCCAAAAATGGCTAACACAGTCTGCCCACGCGCACTATTTCAGAAGCTCAGTATGATTAACCGCTATGTAAAGAAGGAAGAGAGAAGTAATTTATCATTAAATAATCTGTATTTCAATATGAAAATACTTAGGTACTCAACACTGGCAGACATAATAAAGCAGACAGATGCTTACATCTGCTTACAGTGAAACATGGATAAGGAAAAACAATATTCAGGCTGGGCGCGGTGGCTGACACCTGTAATCCAGCACTTTGGTAGGCCGAGGTGGGCAGATCACAAGGTCAGGAGTTTGAGACCAACCTGTTTAATACGGTGAAACCCCGTCTCTACTAAACTTAGAAAAATTAGCCAGGTGGTGGCGGGCGCCTGTAGTCCCAGCTGCTCGGGAGGCTGAGGCAGGAGATTCTCTTGAACCTGGGAGGCGGAGGTTGCAGTGAGCCGAGATCGCACCACTGCACTCCAGCCTGGGTGACAGAGCGAGACTCCATCTCAAAAAAAAAAAAAAAAAAAACCTAAGTACAGACGTACACTCGCATATATATCCATTGTGAATGTAAAGCTACAAATGTTGCTATGGGTAATATGATTTTTGTTTTTTTAGTGAACTTGGTGAAGTTTCCAGTAAAAGTTCGATCTTTCTTCTGTTTTCATGGTTGTTGCATTCCTTGAAAATTCAGTGTCTATCAAAACCATGCCCTCCCCCAAACTGTTTTTATATGTAAAACAGAATGGATTTGAGATTCAGATAATCAGAAACAGGTTTTCACCTACATAAATCCTGCTGGGACATTGAAAAACCGTGTTGTCTGAAAGTCATGCTGCAGAAACAGGACAATGTTTTTGAGGGCAGGACCTTTATTTTTATTTTTTGAGATGGGGTCTCGCTCTGTCGCCTAGGCTGGAGTTCAGTGGCGTGAACCACCACTTCACCCAGGCTGGTCTTGAACTCCTGGGCTCAAGCAATTTGTCCACTTTGACCTTCCAAAGTACTGAAATTACAGGCGTGAGCCCCTGAGTCTGGCCTTAAAAATATTTTTGAATGGGAAATAAATGACCTACAAAATTGCCACCATGCTCTTTTTATTCTGTGTATTCCTTTCCAGGCTTTGTCATTAGACAATGCTTCCTCCATTGTGTATGGGCACAGATTCATTTGGGAAATAAAAAATTTTAAGAGTATTTTGAGATGTTAAACATTTAGTGAGATGGGGGTAAAGCATTGTGTGGGAAAAGCTTGAGGGGTTTGGTGCAAAAATACAAGTAGAGGCCCTCACACCACCAGTCGAAATATTTCAGTGTTAGAAATCAAGCAAAGAGCCTGGTAAATAAAATATTTTCTATCCTCCTACCTTGAAAATTCTATCAAGGTAGAATTCAGAATTCTCAGACTGTCTCAGAGCTTCACAATGGAGAAGGGGAGCCAGCCCCCATGTCTGGCCTGACCCATTTTTCTTCTCACCAGCATCTCCATCCTGCACCATGAAGGCTGGGCACTTAGACATGTGGGCACCCACAGCCCCACACATTCAGGTTCTGTTCACACCCCACACCCCATCCCTTCCACAGAGCAGCTACCAGTTGGCCCTTCTGGGTCTAGAAGTGCAAATGGGGTCCGGGCGCGGTGGCTCACGCCTATAATCCCAGCACTTGGGGAGGCCAAGGTGGCCAGATCAGGAGGTCAAGAGATCGAGACCATCCTGGCCAACATGGTGAAACCCCATCTCTACTAAAAATACAAAAAGTAGCTGGGCATAGTGATGTATGCCTATAGTTCCAGCTACTCAGGAGGCTGAGGCAGGAGAATCACTTGAACCTGGGAGGCGAAGGTTGCAGTGAACCGAGATCGCACCACTACACTCCAGCCTGGCGACAACGCGAGACTCTGTCTAAAAAAAAAAAACAAAAAAAAACACTGCAGATGGGGAGCACAGTGCACCGTCCAGAGGGCAGACCCATGGAAGAGTCCTGCAAAGCCCTAGAAGAAGGCCTGGGATGGTTGGGCAGGGAATTCCAGGGCCTCAGAATCCAGAGTGTGGGCCAGGTGTGGTGGCTCATGCCTGTAATCCCAGCACTTTGTGAGGCTGAGGTGGGAGGATTGCTTTTGCCCAGGAGTTTGACACCAGGCTAGGCAACATAGTGAGACCCTGTCTCTATAAAATAAATACAAAAATTAGCAAGGCCTGGTGGTACATGCCTGTGGTCCAGCTACTTCGGAAGCTGAGGAGGGAGGATCCCCTGAGCCCAGGAGGTTGAGACCGCAGTGAGTCATGATTGTACCGCTACACTCCAGCCTGACCGTCTGAGACCTTGTCTCAAAAAAAAAAAAAAAAAAAAAAAGGCCACGCGTGGTGGCTCATTCCTGTAATACCAGCACTTTGGGAGGCCGAGGCAGGCAGATCACAAGGTCAGGAGTCCAAGACCACCCTGACCAACATGGCGAAACCCCATCTCTACTAAAGATACAAAAATTAGCCAGGCGTGGTGGTGCGCACCTGTAATCCTAGCTACTCAGGAGGCTGAGGTAGGAGAATCGTTTGAACCTGGGAATGAACCGAGATCGTGCCACGGCAATCCAGCCTGGGCAACAGAGCGAGACTCTGTCTCTAAAAACAAACAAACCAACCAACAAACAAAGAACATGGAGTATGGTCTTAGAGGAGGGTGAGGATTTGGAGATTTGGATGGGCAAGTCCCCCAGGCCTGGCAGATTTCTTGCCCAGGGGGAGGGGCATGGTGGAAGAGGCCAGATGGAGCTTCTCAAGCATGGGCCCAGGGCCAGGAGCCTACCAGGCCTAAGACTAAGGACAGTACTGGTGTGGAATTTACAAAAGATGATTAGAGGATATTCAGAGCTGAGAATCCTTTATCCCAAAGTATTATAGGACCTAGACATCTCTTCTGTTTTTATCTGTTAGGCTCTGTGGGCTGAGCCACCACAAATTGTCATGCATAATTTCAAAAGCAATGTCATGAGATCCCATAAAAATTTTTGTAGCAAAGTAATATATCCCATGTGGAACACTGGGTGCATTTTAATATGTGTGATAGGATGTCGCAGGAGTGCCCGGGTCCACGAGGCTGTAGCGTAAATTGGCCCTTGTTTGAAGAGGAAGAAACATTCTCAGGCTTCTCCCAGCCTCAGATCATTCAGATGTGCTTTAAGTACCCTGTTTCTGTAGAATCTTGTATTTAAGCTTATGGAATTTTAGTTTATAGGACTTGAATTTTGGTAGCCCCTTCCTTGGTTTGCTCTGAGCAGCTTTGTTAAAACAGAGAAGTACAGCTCGGCGCAGTGGCTCACACCTGTTATCCCAGCACTTTGGAAGGCTGAGGTGGGCAGATCACCCGAGGTCAGAAGTTCGAGACCAGCATAACTTACAAGGTGAAATCTTGTCTCTACTAAAAATACAAAAATTAGCCTGGTGTGGTGGGGCACGCCTGTAATCCCAGCTACTCGGGAGGATGAGGCAGGAGAATCACTTGAACCCAGGAGGTGGAGTTTGCAGTGAACTGAGATTGCACCACTGCACTCTAAATGCTTTGTACATATCAACTCATTTAGTGCTCAAAACACTATAAAGCAAATACAATTACCCTCTTTTTTTTTTGAGACAGAGTCTCGCTCTGTTGCCCAGGCTAGAGTGCAGTGGTGCGATCTTGGCTCACTGCAACCTCCACCTCCCGAGTTCAAGCGATTCTCATGCTTCAGCCTCTGGAGTAGCCAGGACTACAGGCTGTGCCACCATGCCCAGCTAATTTTTGTATTTTTAGTATAGACAAGGTTTCACTATGTCGGCCAGGCTGGTCTCAAACTCCTGACCTCCGGTGATTCACCCACCTCGGCCTCCCAAAGTGCTAGAATTACAGGCATGAGCCACCGCACCCAGCCCAATTACCCTCATTTTAGAGATGAAGACACTGAGGCATAGAAAGGTCAGGTCAGGTCACTTGTCTAAGCTCATAGCTCATAACTGGAAAGGACAGAATCAGAATTTGAACTCAGACAGCACAGCTCTAGTGTCTTGGCATTTAATGAACCAGCGAAAGAACAGAGGAGCTGTTCCCCAGGTCTCCTGTGCTTCTAGACCCTCGCTGGAGGCAACTGCCTTCACCACGGACTTTTTCAGAGGTTAAAATTTCCAGCGTGGATGACATGGTGGAATCTCGTCTCTATAAAAAATACAAAAACTTAGCTGGGCGTGGTGGCACATGCCTCTTGTCCCAGCTTCTTGGGAGTCAGGGCGGGAGGATCGCTTGAACCCATGAGGTCCAGGCTGCAGTGAGCTGTGTTCGTGCCATTTCACTCCAGCCTGGGTGACAGAGGGAGACCGTGTTCCAAAAAACCAAAATTTCCTTGCTGGTACTGACCCTCGCGCATAGTAGATACTCTGTAAACAATTTTTGTTTTGTTTTGGAGATGGATTCTCGCTCTGTAACCTAGGTTAGAGTGCAGTGGCATGATCTCTGCTCACTGCAACCTCCGCCTCCAGGGTTCAAGCGATTCTCCCCCCTTGGCTTCCTGAGTAGCTGGGATTACAGGTACCCTTCACACCCGGTTAATGTTTGTATTTTTAGTAGAGACGGGATTTTACCATATTGGCCAGGCTGGTCTCGAACTCCTGACCTTGTGATCTGCCCATCTCGGCCTCCCAAAGTGCTGGGATTACAAGTATGAGCCACTGTGCCCAGCTTTAATTTTTATTCTATATAAAACCATTTGTCTTTCTTTGTCCTCATTCTACTTTTCCTGTTTAAAATTTGTACTAAATTATACAAAAAATTTAGAATGTATAAGTGCACAGTTCAGTGGCATTAAGTACATTCACACTGTTGTGCAACCCTCGCTACTATCCATCTCCAAAAC